ACCACCACCATCATCATCATCATCATCATCATCATCATCATCAGCAGCAGCAGCAGCAGCAGCAGCAGCAGCAGCAGCAGCAGTGAGGTAAACGAACCCAACTTCTCAAGCAGCGCTCATTAGACGAGGGCCGGTCACACTTTCAAAATCAAAGAGACCGAAATCCTCGCAAGGGGCCACAACTGCACAAGCCTTGAACTACTTGAGTGCTGGTTCTCCGGCAAATACAACAATCCCCTCCCTCTCAACAGTTAGGCTGCGTGGTGGAGGAATTATTTGTATGCGAACCGAATACTACTTTGGGGAAGGTGTCAACATTTAAAGTCGCCAAGCACCATCACACCAACCACCAACACTGGTGATACGGTCATGGATGTGGTCGGCTAAACCTGTTTCACGAGAATTGCTTATCACCCACGTCCTGTAGGCAGTAAAACTACGAGTGTTCATTATTTCTACATTTCGAATGATGGGTACGAGCACGAATTGGACTCTTTTAATCATAAAAGCACTAAAGACAAAGACGAGAGAGACTAGAATGACCGTTTCTGACTTATTAGCCGGCGTCAGTTAGCCATGCCCAATCCCAGGCTTTGCTCGATTCCGCGATCTGTTGGTTAGGAGTCTTACTTTGATCAGTGCACTTACTGTCCAGGCGATCTGGTCTACTTCCTTTTGACCGTTTGACATCTTAGTAGACTGGAAATTTTGAAGAAACAAACATCTCGGCGTAAAATCAAGGAAGAATTGCAAGTTTATTGGATACAGCAAATTGACCATCATTTAACGCATTTAAACTGAAACATCGGTTCCCAACAGAAACCACCCAGTTGGCCGCAAACGCAGACGCCCGAGGAAAGACAATAAATTTGACCGGAGGAAGATTTTGCCAGAATGTGTAACATCCCCGGATAGGCCAGGGGCGGCATGGGAGACTAAATCTCACCGTATCTGATTTCTAGTGAATGCGCTTCACCGATACTTCGGGTTTTCGGAAGCCATCACTGTCGGGCGTCCACGTGGGGCCGGGGGACCCGCTGCAGGAGAATTGGTAGGATTTTTCCAAACATGCAGCAGGAAAGGATTAACAGGGGGGAGGAACTTTGCGGAAATCGCGTCTAGCCGGATGAAGAAACTTGCCTGCCTATTAAATGAGACTGACGGGGTTTCGCCTCTTTAACCTCGACGAATTTGACGGGCGGTTGTGCCTCACTTTGAGCGTGAAGTCAGTTAGTAACGCTGATTTGCAGGTAAGCTAACTCATGAAATGTCAACCGAAATTCCGAAATGCCTTTTCGTTTCGAAAAGATTAATTAAGTAGGGTTGTAAAACTAGTCAGCCCGCAACAAAATTAGCTAATATTATAGCTACCTCAGGATGTCGGCTTTCGAATGAACTTCCGGCTTTATGCGAAAACCACACTGCAAAAATGACTACTTAATTAGCACGAATTTTTCTCATTGATTTTCGATGCCCAAAAAGTCCAATTACAATTCATGGAAAACATGCATAAAAATATTCATCCTTTTGCTCATCCGGCAGATAATTACGTCTTCTTCTAATTTTATACTCGAAGGAAGGACATAATTCGGTCCTAAAAAGTTTATAATTTTGGGGCTTGTAAATACTGTGAAATGGCCGTTCATAAATCGTCATATCTCTGCATTTACTAATATGGCTTATACAATTAGTATGGATCAAATCCACTGCTAAATTTTATGAACCCCATATGGTTTCCTCTTAATACCGTAGAGAAATGTGTGGTTTTTCGTACGCGAAAAATACATGGCTTGTAGTTTGGAAACCCTGAATCCAAGTATAACGATTGAGCGGGTTCAAAATTAATCGGGGATTGGAAAAGTTTTTGAAAACCGAATTATACCCTTTCGTCGAGTATAAGATTGGAAGAAGACGTAATTATCTACTGAATGAACGAAAGAATGAATATTTTTATGCATTTTTCTCATGAAACATAATTGAACTCTTAGGGCATCGTAAATGAAAGAGAACAATTCTTGCTACTTAAGTAGTCATTTTTTACAGAGTGTAATTTTCACATGCAGCCTGGAGGAAGTTCATTCGAAAGCCAGCATCCTGAGGCAGCTATAATATTATAGAATTATGTTGCAGACCGACTAGTTCTACAACCCTACTTAATTACTCTTTTCGAAACGAAAACGCATTTCGGAATTTCGGTTAACTTTTCATGAGTTAGCCCACCTACCGTAAAGGAACCTGGACAACCAGGCAGCAGCATCAGCAGCAGCAGCATCAGCAGCAGCAGCAGCAGCAGCAGCAGCAGCAGCAGCAGCAGCAGCAGCAGCAGCAGCAGCAGCAGCAGCAAGGCAGACGACGGAGGATACGCCCATACGTCCATTACGTCGCCCTGAAGGATATTATCTGATACTGAAGAGTTTGTCCGGCATGATTGACTTGCACGAGAAGCAAACTGAAAATTCATTGAATGTAAGGCTACGCATGTATGCAAGTGAAACTTTCTTAATCCACTGAATCGCGCATTTTTCTACACAGACCTGTCATGAAGGTTTAAAATAGCAATGCTTTCAAAAGGACTACATGCACTGATGCCTCTCCTTCGTCCATTGTGATGGAAACATACCCAAATTGCGCAAGGAGCGAATGTTTCAAAAAAAATATATATGCTTGACTCCCGGCCAATTCTGATCATCGTGCAGTTATGGTCAAGCAATCATTTCATTTCAGGTAGTATTTCGAGAAAGACTTGGTGTGTTTTAAATTGTATTTCGGTGTTCACGTATCTGTAACCTTGGGGGGCAATTGTTAGCATACATCCCATCATATATTATGGCTGTTCTGTGTGTCCAGACTCGCGTAATGGTAGATGTGGGAGTGCGAAATGGAATCTATGCTAAGCGATTATGAAGTGTCCTCCACATAAACACTCATTCATGAACCATGTGTTTGGTCGTCGGTCTACTACTACTACTACTACTACTACTACTACTACTACTGCTACTACTACTACTACTACTGCTACTACTACTAACACTAATACTACTACTACTACTAATACTACTACTACGACTACTACTACTACTGCTACTACTACTACTACTACTACTACTACTATTACTACTAACACTAATACTACTACTAATACTACTACTACTACGACTACTACTACTGCTACTACTACTACTACCACTAATATTACTACTACAACTTCTTCTACTACTATTACTACTACTACTGCTACTACTACTACTACCACTACTACTACTTATACTACTACTACTACTACTACTACTACTACTACTACTACTACTACTACTACTACTACTACTACTACTACTACTACTACTACCCCTACTCCTACTACTACTACTACCACTACTACCGCCGCTGCCCGTTGCAACAAATTGCCACCCATGAAAGAAGCTTCGGGTGGTTTGAACACGCTCCATGAACTCGGTACTGCCGCCCTAAATTTGACACAACTACCTAACAGTAGGTGACGCAGGGGTCGGGACGACCGGAAGTTGGCGTGGGCATGAAGACCGACAAAAATAACCAGCCCGTCTACGCGCGCCACACACACGACCTGACTTCAAGGTCAGGCGTTCTGGGCTACGCCAAGGTCACCTCAACTCCCCCCTAGGCGAAAATGCCGCGAGGGCCACTTTAGGTGGGTATTACAGCCTGACCCTCCGTCTTAAGGACGACCGAGTTATTAGGTGGCAGCTCTCCAAGCCACGACTCCCAGCCCGCCATGACAGATGTAAGCGCGTCAGATTTTATGTAGAGAGGAATGTGCATAGTGCAGACGCATAAGGTCGGATACAAACTCTGGTAATCAAAATTCATTCAAGTTGTCCTGCCAAAGAGCTCCTGTGCGATACACATCGATACGCATGAACCGTGGACAGAGATCCTCAAATGTGCTTTCATATTAAACCCTTATTTCCAACAGGTCTGTCGTAGGAAAGCACACTATGAGTGAGTACATTCGTATACCCTAAGATGCTACCGTAATCTCACAGAAACAATTCAGTAGGCAACATGTGCATTTGACGGTCCTTCATCTCTATTAAAAGATTTTTTAAATTCGAATTTGAAGGGGTTTTTTGGTCTTATTTTTTCCTCTCAATAATGCGCTCTAGATATTATCTTTCAGCAGGAGATGTCCTTCGCAAAACTGCTCTGGTTTAAATACGTTAAAGTACACTTTATAATAAAAAAAATAATGAGGGTTTCCTTTTTGACCCACTGAACAGACGTTCTTTCCCACTGTTGGGAAGATTTTTTGCTGGACCTTTTTTGCGCAGTTGATTCATCCATCCTATAGCGGCATTGCGACTGTTTATTATCCCAGGAGCTTTAGTGTGCGTCGCTGGGTATCTTCTATCGTTCGACACAACGGACAACGTTGCGCTCGAGGGGCTGCCCAGTGTCAGTAGAACCCGCATGGATGTCGAAATTCTGTATTGGACGCAGGTTTCATGCCACGTCAGCCAGTACTGCCCATTTTACCTCCTTGACTGTCTTGACAGGGTTACCCAGGTCGAAGACGAGGAGGAGCTAGTGCGGTAGGTACTGCGCAAGTGCATTATCGCTTTAAACTAGGTCACGCGCAAGTTACCGTCCCTGCATCGGCCCTGCCGTGGAGCACACAGTGGACGTCGTCGGCAACGATGGTAGAACTGTCAGACTTTTAAGTCAGGAAGCTTAGCGTGTTGTGATAGATTCGAGCCTGTCAAATGGTTCGTTACGGAGCGATGAGCTGATTTGCCGTGAAGACCTCACTGTCTCTTCCCTCTCACATGCACCGGTCGACTCTCTGAGCCCTGTCATGCGACGGGCAGGCAGTGGTGTCAAGGCCTACGTCAAAGTCTGCCTGTACTGTAGACACGCGTCGAATCTGCGCTGCCTAATTAACGCGCGTGGTGAGTCCGTCTGACATCTGTTTTACCCCAGCGCCTCTACAGCACAGCCCCTTTGTGACGGCTAAGCATGCGCATACCGGACATGTTCGTCCCGAGGCGCCTTTGGGCTCAATCTAGAGTCTTCACTGTCTTGACAGGGTAACCCAGACCGAGGAGGAGGAGGGGCTAGTGCGGTAGATACTGCGCAAGTGCATCATCGCTTTAAACTAGGTCACGCGCAAATCACCGTCCCTGCTTTCACCCTGCTCTGGAGCACGCGATGGACATCGTCGGTCACAACTGTCGAACTGTCGGTGTCATTGTGTGGTGACTGTTTGCCTCCTAGGTAGGAAACTGGACTGTGCGCCATTGGGCCGCGTGATCGTTATGTGTGATGACAGTAGGTTATATCAGCGGACCTGTTTGTGGAATTGGTATCGGAGACCCGGCCAGTGCGCCCGACCCGGCCTCCGATCTTCTTGACACTGTCGTAACGCTTGGCGCAAGAGGACGAGGGAAGAGAGAGTGCGGTAGATGCAGCACAGGCGCCCACAATGCTGTGAAGCACATGGTGGACATCATCATTCGTAAACTGGTATCGGTCGAACTGTCACCAGAAACCCAGGCCGCCAGTGGTTCTCGCTATGATCCGCGCGCTTGCGAAGTCCAGTTTGTAGCCTTCCTCCAGGGTAGGGGTAGTGACTTAAGACAACCCGGTCGAATCTCCGAACGTCCCTCTGCTAAGCTCGGGTGTTGGTGAGCCTGTTGCACTTTCTTAAGACAACTATAGCGCCCCGGTGATCACATGGTCTTTTGTAACTTTCCAAGCACTGGGGTTTTTTCGCAGATTATTTGTGCAGATAGTTGTCTGCACAATGGTATTTCTGACGCTCGTGGCTTTGGGGGTTGTCAAGTGAGGGGATAATTCGGCTCTTCTCCAGACGGATGGGGATCAGGCCACCATAGTTCCTTCTTGATGTGACAAATGTCTTCGAAAAGAGGTCGACGACACCATTGGGGCTTGGTTCCTGTGCGTGCAAGGCCCAGCGGGGGTAAGCGGATGGGCGCTCACGCCCGTATCCAGTTGTTTTGGAATTATATTACGACTGAAGCTTGTGTGTGGGTGTGTGCTTGTTGAGGGAGACGGACACTACGGAAATCTCCCTTATAACTCAAACCACATGCAAGTCACGGATGCTGCACCCTCGGGACAGCGATGATCCCTGTCGCTTCCTCCGATCCAGCTGTCGGTTGTGTCTGCTACATTGTATAAAAAAACCTTATTTCTCCCTCTTGAAGGCTCCCTATCTTTTTCGTTTTTGGCCCATAATTAAATCGCTTCGTCGGTGGCTTTTATTGCCAGAAGGGAGAAGTGTCTATCCAAAGTGGGCCGAAATCTCACGTCAGGTTTGACGACACGCCCTGCGATTTGCCGACTTTTTAAAGCTCGAATGCCCTCTCTCTCTCTCACTCCCTTTCCCTCTTCCTCCCTCGGTCACTGCGGTGAGATGTGGTCAGACTGAAGGGAGGGTGGAATTATCATTAACTAAGATGATACACAAAAAGACGTCTGTTATGATGTTTCATTTGCCCGCTCGTTGTTCGTTGGAAGGGACGAACTCACTGGTTAGCTGGTTGATATCTGCCTAAATTCTCCACTGTAGGATCGAGATGGCTGGCCTTTTCTGTCCTTCAGAAGAATAATTCAAGTAAAAAAGTCGACCAGACTTCAGTATATTTTAAGGTCACAGGCATCGTCTACAACCCGCCTGCTGTTCGGTGGAAAAGACTAACCCACTGGTTGGCTGGTGATGTCTGCCTAAATTCTCCACTGTAGGATCGAGATGAGTGGTCTGTTCTGCCCTTTGAAACAGTAATGTACGCAAAAAATTCGACCAGAGTTAAGTATATTTTAAGGTCACTAGTGGCTCGTAGGCAGCCAATCGACCAGCCAATCCACGTCCATACACTCATTTTCTACTGAAAATTTGTCGATCTTAGCCTTGTATCCAACTAACTGTAGACTTTTTTGACAATAAACGTTTAGGGGTATAATGAGGCT